GCCTTTTTGTAACACTGATTTAGAACCGGTATTGAGTATAGACGCTAACAGACACACACGCACATATACACATGCACACACGCAAACACTCGAGCAAAAGTAGCAGGGCCAGTTTGAAAGATAATTAGCCAAACCCCTCTATCTCGATCTGTCTAGGTTTTTAATGTTCTTTTGGTTCAATTGAGTCTATATAAGTAGTATGATAAAGCCGGATATTCTTCTTGACCTAGTGTTAACTTGAGGATTTTACAAGAATGAGTATCAGCTGTGATGATTCCGGTGAAAAGGTGCTAAGCTTTCGTCCGGCATATGGCGGACATCATCAGAGCGAGGTAACATCATCACCTTCGAATCTCTTCACCCAACACTGTCACTCGAAATGTAAGTAAGCTCAACAATTATGAAACAAGAGATACCTCAAAACCCAACTTTTCTTCGCATTAATGATCAAAGCTTGACATTAGCCTTTTTGTAACTCTGATTTAGAACCGGTATTGAGTATAGACGCTAACACACACACACGCACATACACATGCACACACGCACAAACTCGAGCAAAAGTAGCAGGGCCAGTATGAAAGATAATTAGCCGATCTGTCTAAGTTTTTAATTTTCTTTTGGCTCAATTGAGTCTATATAAGTAGTATGATAGAGCCGGATAGTCTTCTTGACCGAATGTTAACTTGATGATTTTATAAGAATGAGTATCAGCTGTGATGATTCCGGTGAAAAGGTGCTAAGCTTCCGTCCGGCATATGGCGGACATCATCGGAGCGAGGTAATATCGTCACCTTCGAATCTCTTCACCCAAAATTCACTCGAAATGGAAGTAAGCTCAACAATTATGAAACAAGAGATACCTCAAAACCCAACTTTTCTTCGCATTGATGATCAAAGTTTGACATTAGCCTTTTTGTAACTCTGATTTAGGACCGGTATTGAGTATAGACACTAACACACACACACATATACGCATGCACACACGCACACACTCGAGCAAAAATAGCAGGACCAGTATAAAAGATAATTAGCCAAACCTCTCTAGGTTTTTAATTTTACTTTCGGCTCAATTGAGTCGATATAAGTAGTATGATAGAGCCGAATAGTCTTCTTGACCGAGTGTTAACTTGAGAATTTTACAAGAATGTGTATCAGCTGTGATGATTCCGGTGATTCCGAATTTCTGAGGCTGCGAAAAGGTCGGTCGACCGTTTGGCCAAAATGTAAAAAGCTGCTCCCCCCACCGAGTAAATGGATACCGCCAAGTCTGGTTGTTGAGAGGTGATAGAACTTTGGCAACTTGTCCGCCCTGTCGCATTATCGGTTCGTGGCCAGTTCGAGCAAGCCCTAAAAGCCCAAATGCATCATTTCGCCGCTGCCACACGCAGTAGGGCGCCCTGTGGCTCGGCTTGCTTGGAGTTGAATTGCCGCTTTCGTCGGCCCCAGATCCACGCTCGACGATGAGCGATTCAATTAGTTCACGCTTGGATCGCACCGACCCGAGGTTGAAACGAATGCATGCATGAATGCATGTGGACACATTGTTGTCCACAACACGGCGACGAACAAGCGCCCCCAAAACACTGGCCCCACCCGGTCTAGTTACTCTGGCGTGTCCAAGCTGAAATCCTGATCTTAACCCGTCCTTTATACACCAAAAATGCATTTATTGTCCCAGTCCACCTCCCCCTCTCTTTGTCCTCAAGCAATACTCAACACTTAGGCTCTCACTCGTTAACCACACGCATGCAGACACATTATGCATACCACCTACATCATTCACTTGGACAGCTACATACATACATACATACATACATACATACATACATACATACATACATACATACATACATACATACAT